TGATCTGGGCCGTCCGATCGCGCCTACGCGGATCGCCAACGTGGCCCGTTTCGGAACGACGTGGTCTTGCCATGTGGCAGGTCCCGGTTGGCCAAGACTGCTGACCGGGCCTGCTGACGTGGCTGCCGACGTGGCTTTTTTTTTTTTTTTTTTTTTTCGGCCCCTTTCCGGGCGCTACAGGTGGGGTTTCATCTAATGTTTCGTGTGGTCCTGTGCTTTTCTTAAATGGTATTAATCATTTGGACTTCTCACACTTACGTAGTGATGAACTAGGTCAAAAGGTTTATGGTTACGGCTTAAACCAAACATCAAATAATATTATAAGGATAAAGCATATGAAAATAACTATGCTAGTAGCTTGCTCTTTTCTTTTATATATAAATCCAACTGAAGATCGAGCTCTCAACATAGATTCTCACACTCACCAAATGCTTGCCGCTTGACTTAGCAAACACATAACAAAGAGAAGACCCTGAGCAATATCCCAAATTTTTTTAAAAATAAAAATTATATACAGTATATTAATAATATGGCACTAAGTGGGTGCCACCCATTTACAAATATCTATATTTCAGTAAATATCCTATGACATTCTCAAAATATTTCATCCCATAAATGCCATGACCCAAAATCAAAGAAACAGAACAGTATATCCATCTGTCCCTACTTTTAGATATCTTACTCTTTATCCCCTATTACGCCATTCTGTTTCTTTCTTTGCAGACTACCCAAAAAATAGTTAAAGGAATAAGATATACAGACTTTTTTTTTTACATATGCCTTCCCAAGCCCTAAGCTCATCTCTTACCGATCCCGCATCAATATCCCCAAATTTAATCAAACCATCAATACACCAATAACCCAAATTGCAAGAACTCATATACTTTTTTTTTATAAACCAACATATTCTCACTTAACATTTGGCTAAGGATATAACACCAAAATTTCATCCAAAAATTTTGTCAAACAAGTAATAGTCACTAAAACGAACTACCAACCATCACATTACTGAGCAACAAAGAGAAGACCCGTGAAGAATATCCCAAATTTAACGACACTAATTCAATAACCCAAATTGCCGAAAGAGACCCGTCCTTCCTCATAAGTAACAGATTTTCACTCAGCGTTTGGCTAAGAATATCACGCGAAATTTCAGTCAGAAATTTCGTCAAACAGTTGATAGTCACTGAAACATACTACCCAACGATGGCAAAATTTCTAGAGACTAACACACCCATGTAGAAGTAAACATGTACATGTTTGGCTATATACATGCGGGAGATAGAAAGGTATGGGGTCTTAACTGATTCGGGTTTGCCAATGATTTTAGCAACAGCCTTGGTGGCGTCCTTGAGAATGTCAGAAACCGTGACTGCATCCACTGGCACGTTTGTATAGAGGTTCAAGGTGGGCATCTTCTTCTTCCTTCTTCCTCTGATCCTCTCCTCGAACGGGTGGCTTCTAATGAAGCTTAGCGGGATAATGGCTGTCAGCTTATTGGCTTCTTTTTTCTAGCCGTTATTTTGTAGTATCTGTCCTCTGCGTCCCCGCCATGATTTTTTTTCTAGTTCGATATATGTATGTATTTTCTTCTTCTAGATTTTTGTTGTATATAACAGTAACATAAATACAATATAAATAATATAAAATTTTAATATTTTGAATTAAAATAGACTATATATCAATTTTAAATAAATATTTTTGTACTTAATATGTACAAAATTAAAAAAATAAATAAATAAAATTGATTAATTATGTATATGTAAATTATAATTTAATATTTGCATACAAAATAACTATTTTTTTTAAAATAAAAATGAATAGTAATATTAGTTAGAATGTTTATGTACAAAAGATAATATTTACAGATCAATAATTATATCTAAAATATATTCAAGATCATCACAAGATTTAGGGGTGCGACCAAGAATGATTAGAACAAAAAAAAAATGAAATTATCTAATTTTAATAGTGACAAATTTTTTTTTTTATCTTAAAAAATTTTATAATTTTTTTCTTTCTATATAGTTTATATAATCGTTAAAAGAATAAATTTATACCATTTTTTACTTAAAGTGAGATATTACCAAGCGAACAATTCACCCTTAACAGAACCGGTTATAACCCAAGAGACACCGAGAAACTTATAAACCATTATCCATGGTTCATAGGACGATTAGCAGAAAAGAAGATGGCTGCAAGTATGCTTGTAAAGGACACACTAATTAGCCATCGTAAAACCTCTTCTCACATGGTTGTCAAGCTGGAGAATAGAATCTATAACAGCTTCTCAAGCAAACACCAAAATTCTTAGAGCAACAAAAACTATTCCAAAATTTTTTATTTTTTTTTTTTGAGGAAAGATAGTAGTAGAGTTTTTGTCTATCAAATTTTTATAGAGAGATTTAACGGTAAAGGAATCATTTTTACTTAAATTTCATCTTAATTTATAAACTTCAGTACCCATTTTGACATCAGCAAAGATTTTGAGAATTTCTTCGTACTCTTCAACCTCCCAGTCTTTCAAATTCTTGGTGACAAGCCACATTCCAAAGGCAAAAGAAGAGCTGATGCCATAAACATTTTTAAGAAGAATATTTTTGTTTCTAGCAATGGTAAAAATGTGAGAGAATTGGCTTTGAAGACTCATTTGGCCACACAGCAAATATCATGTCAAAACCAAATTTTGTCTCCTTTTTCCAGTAATTCATTTGGAATTATTAAGAATCATTTTACTATAATTCCAAATACTCTTTATAATAGATTCGAACCAAATGTTGAAATTTTTTTAAAAAAATTATCTTGGAATTTGGATGTAATTACACCGACATTAACAATAACTTTTTAGATATATAAACATTAAAATCTTGAGATTTTAGAAATAAAAAATAATAATAATAATAATCCAGCACTGTTGAAAAATATTTTTATCCATTTCAAACTTTATTTTATTTTATTTTATTTTTTTTTATCATTTTTATGTCCCTGCCCAAAATAGACAATATAATTAATACATTTTAGATGCAAATATCTAAGAAATAACAATTTTAGAAAATGATTAACATGCAAGCAACTAGTCACAAACAATTTCTGACATTCCTACCTTGTACCATCTTTAAATTAAAGATACAAATTACAACAATTTAATACCGACCCAATAAATAATTAAAACAAACAAACAAATTACAAGAAATACACTAACTCAAGTCACTATTGATTTTCACTTGAATTATATTGAAACAATTTAACACTCTGGATTCTGAGAGGCATAGCATGTTTAATCATTTTTTTTGGTTCAGAAAGGATATAGTTAAACATAAAAGGAAAACAGCACCTACTTCATTACATCATTTATATGGAGAGTTAAAAAAAAGAAGCACCTACTTCATTACATCTTCGATTTTTCTCCCCTACCTTAGCTACCTCAAAAATTACCAGTAAATATTATCTGCTTATGTCAGACATCATCGCACCAGGAGGCGCAACCTGGGGAGAAAATTAAATCTGAATATAAGTTCACCATGGTCTAAACTCAAAGCCTGTAACTACTGTAGCTCCCAAGGCCAGATGTTCCGTAACCCCCACTGCCACCACCACTATAGGGCTGTCCTGACATCGACGACGAAGATGGTGTGTAAGCTGTGCTTCTCAACTGAGAATAGGGGGACGGCCTGTAAGCAGTGTCGATCTTGCCGTAGCTGCTCGAAATTTGTTCTTTGTGATTGCTCATGAATTCCTAACAGACAAGATAATGAAAGTATACATCAGATATTGCTAAGGTGCTTTGATTTCACATTTTACCTACAACATTTGCTCTCAAAACCAGATTATTTAGAACTTAATGAGATTTGTGTATATTTGAGGCTAGAGTTTGGCGAGATATCTAATCTGTACTTTCCAGAATTTCCCTATAGTGAATGCAAGATCCATCCCTCCTATGAAAGCAGGCGCAATTAGCCAAAACATGTATGTTTTTGTTCTTACTTGCTAATTGTTCAATTAATTTACCTACTGGCATAACACTAGCATTAAAAATCTAAATTCGTGACCAAAATTGTTAAATTATGCTAAAAGGAGCCAATAGCTCGACATCAGAGATTGGCAATGGAAAACAGCATAGCATTCAGAAATACACATGGGCATTGAGGATTCCAGATGAAGATAGTAAAGCTATTAAAACTGGAACAAGTGATGTTACTTTAGCAAGATTACCCTTTTTTTTTTTTCTGAAGGGGTGCCATCTATATACATAGCATTTACAAACCTAACAAAATATCCATCAGATCTCCTAGATTCTCGCTAATATGAAGCCTGTGACCCTTGATTAAAAATCTCTTTTTCTTTTTGAATAAACCCTTGGTAAAAAATCTTAGGATCTGGAACCACTGGACGCATAATTTTTGCTATATGTCATGATTTCAGGTAATAGAAATTCCATTAAAGAATCCAAGTAACAGGAAAATACAAGGAAAAAAGTTTTACTAGTCTATTTTGGCTGACAGTAAGATAGAAAGTCCAAATACTTTCTCAGAAATGGAGAATCTAGAAAAAGAAAATTTCTTTAGACGGCTAAGTTCAGCTCATTTCCTAATTAATTCCCAATGATTTTCTCTTTCTGATTCTTATACATGCATAATAAGAACACAATTACTGGTTCAGTTATTCTTAAGATAGGTAATTTGAGAAAGCAGGGAAAGCTCATTATTAATGGGTATCCAATGTGTGTTTCCAAGAAAGTGAATCCCCTAACCATCACCTTCCTTGGTGTGTTGAGACTAGAAGGCTATGGGATATCTTTGTCCTTCCTAAACCGATCCTGGGTGCCAGTGGCTTGTTTAGATGAATTATGGGCATGGGATGTCATTAGGGTGTGCAAGACCTGGGAAAAGCTTATCTCCCTCACTATGTTGGCTATCATTTAGGTCATTTGGGTCATTTGGAAAGAAATGAACAAGAGGGCTGGCATTATGTCTCTTTTGCTAACATTAGAGATTAATGGTTCCGTAACATGGGTTTTCTGTTTAACGGTCGGCCTCTCAGCAAAGAAAGAAATTTAGGGAACCTCATAGATACTTTAGTTTCTTGTCTCAACCTGTAAATCTTCTTTCATGGTACCCTCTTGTGCCTTGCTAATATTAATTCTATCTTTCTCTCTCAAAAAGAAATTACTGTTTTGAGTCACTGAACTTTTTGGTAGTAAAAAAATTAACTCCTACTTTCAAGAATGGAGTTGAATTTCTACCATTACAGAATTAGAAGTGAGGATAGTGATAACTCTATGGAAGATTTGTAATCAATTTTGTAAAACAGAA